CCCCCTGCCCAGACTTCCCGCCCCCAGCTCTCCACACTCCCAGGCCAGCCCTTCCCCGAGGAGAACCCTGGGCCAGATGCCCACCACCCTAGGGGGGATGGGGGAGGTCCTGAGCCTCAGACGCGATCGTTCTGGAACTGGACAYTGTCAGCCAACATCCTCCGGGAGGTCTGGGGTGATCCCAGAAATGCAGGCGTCCCACCTGCCCACGCGGACGATATAAGCCATCCGTGGTCCCAGCCACCTTTGAACAATTTCCAGCGGCCCGCGCCCCCAGCCTCCCTTGTGACCCTGAATATGTCCCCACCCCCACCCCCATTCCCTGTAAAGACAGCGGAGAGAAATCTGAAAGCTAAGGAAAGTTGCCTGTAGCGTGCTAAGTGTGACCAAGTCACCCCCTGGGGGCAGGGCTGTCCGTGGGAAGCCCACTGAGGCAGGTGCTGTCTGCCCCCTTGCACTCAGGGGACAGGAGTTGGAGACGGTGTTTAAATGATCACTTAGCACTAAAGAGTTCTGAAAGACAATTATGGAGTACCTACTGAGGACACAGACCCACCATGGGGACAACTTTAGGGAAGTGCAAATGCTAGAGACCGAGACCAAGGCAGRAGGGAGTTTCCAGCTTCCTGATCCCCAGAGCCCTGGTGTCTTTTCTCACCACTCCCCACCCCCGCCTGGGGTTTTCGGTTACTTCTTATTTTTCTGCAATGGCGCATGTAAGTCTGCGTTCAGAATCCATGTGCCACCCAGGGTAAAGTGAGATTAAAGGGCACCCAGAAAATCTGAAGAAATCCGGAGCAGGAAATCCCTTGAATTCTCCAGAATGGGTCACATGGCACCCTGAGCCTGCACTCAGCTAGAGTTAGAGGGTTAAAGGATCCACCAGAAGTGGTTAAGGTCAAATTTTGGAGAGTTCTTAGAATGTGGCTACAGAAGCCCCCTGATTCCCTCATGGCAGGGACCCCTCCGACTTTTGCTTTCCATCCCACCCACCCAGCTCCTTCCTTGTCATTTCCCTGCTAAGCCTGCCCTTGCAGTTGGCCAGTTTTCCAGACACTTCTGAAGATCTGAGGCACAAAAGGTATCGAGTTGTCCAGGAAAGGACAAGAGGGCTGTTGGGAGTAAGAATTYGAGTGGAAGGAGCTTGGTGCAGCAGCAGAGTGTCCAAAACTATTGAGACAGACACGCAGAGCCAAATGTGGAATGYTCATCCCCTCCCACCCCTCCATGTGTTTGCCTAAAAACAGGAACAGACTATCTTATCAAGTGTCACCCTAGGAGGAAGGGTAAGTTCCCTCAAGCAGTCCCCAAGACCGAATTTCACAATTTAATTAATACAGTGTGTTCCAATATGTCTTTATCATCAGGGTTTTCCAACCAAAATCCCCAAATAAATACATGCACCTACCTGCATTTTCTTGGTCCACACAGACTTCAGTTAAATTTGGGGCAGGGGGGATTGTTTGTTTTTCCGATAGCAATGTGTAGGAAGTTTGGAACCAGACCCTGGAAGTCAAATCCCTGCTCTATTCTAACTACCAGAGGAATCCCCAAAGCAACATTTTACCTCTCTTCATTTTCAGGCTGACAGATAAAGTGGTGATGGGGTCGTTTGCCCCCAGGGTTTGTTGAAAGGACAGAGGGGTAAGAGCATGCACGTGCACACTGCAGACACCTAATAGACCAACAATTTACTTCCTCTATTCGCTTCTAGAAAAGATAGTGAAACTAGCTATTCTCAGTCATTACACTTGAAGCAGGAAGACCAGTTACCAAAAATAACATCTCCTCAGGGCACTCCTAGGAACCAAAGGGCAAAAAAAAAAAAAAAAAACCACAAATTGACGCATTTATAAACACAAGGAATTACTCTTGTAGCAGAAAGAATGGAGAGTTCAAAGGATGCTCATGTTGCTGAGGTCCCTGCACCAAGCACGTCACTGTTTCCATCACACAGGGGTATTTCTCTCTGGTGTTAATAGTGAGTGATCTTCTCTTGCTGCTGTCTCCTTGATTTCTTGATTTCTCTGTCCCTTGCTCCCGTCCATCCCTGGACTCTTGTAATACAGAAGAGCTTCCCTGTGCTCTCGCAAACCAAAGGCAATGACGACAGTGATGAAGTTGTCATAACCGAWCTGCTGTATCTTGTCACTAAACACCACCAGCAGCCTGTAATCCCTAAAACGAACCGAGAAAACAAACAGCCACTCATTCGTGCTCAGCCAATAGTGCTCCCTTGCAAATAATTACACTTCCCACCCTCCTCCACCTCCAGAGATTTAAACGACTTCAGGCTCAGGCTGCTCCTGATAATAGATAAAACTCTACAGTTCCCTCAAGGTTCGTAATGTCCCCTTTTCTCTTCCCTACAATTTCCATCAGGAGGGAGAGGCTGCCGAGAGGAATACATTAAAGTTCAAGTTTATTTTAATAACAGCTTTCAAGGGGGAATAAAGCTACTGAGAGAGGAAAGGACTGGTCTTATTTGTTTTAGACTCCAGGCTTGACTGGGTCTGTCTACTCAAAGAATCCCTGAATGATAAAGCAGAAGCGGGCCAGGCAGGGAGAGAATGTTTTTCCAAAAATTAATCACAAATGGAAAAAAAAAAAAAAAAGATCAATGCCAATCGAAGGATGTTTGAGAACAGCAGATCATGCTTGGTCTTCATTCATTCAAATCATACTATTTAAATCCTTCCGTGGTCAGAGGGACTTGCATGGGCTTAGGTCCTTTAACTGTAGTAGCTTCTCAAGAAAATCACACAGAACAGGGGTTTCGGTGATGTCATTTCCAAGCATCTCCTCCTAGATGAATGCCTCTGAGGGAGTTTCTAGCAAACTGTCCCCATGCCCCTGTAAGGCAGGTCCTGCCTGCTTCTGCTTATTGTCACTCGCAGCTGATATATTGCTTTTCACGCCAACAGCTTTGCAGATTTCAATGGCAGTTGTTTTTCCCATAGCAACGTGTAGGAAGTTTGGAACGAGACCCTGGAACATTTTAAAAGATCTGCCGAACTCTGTGACACCAAGTTTTGGTTCTAATAGCACTGAAATTGTGTTCAGTACAGAAGTAACTTCCTTTAAATAGAGGGGTAGGAACATTTCTATGCAGGGACTCCTGGGCAGGGAGTCCCTCTAAAGAGAAACTGGAGTGTTTTGATTCAGAGCATGGGCTCAGAAGTCCAGTGAAACCCAGCACCAGTTCTTCTGAGCTGTGTGACCTTAGACAAAGTTGCCTAACCTCTCTGTCTCTCAGTAATGGGATTTCTGAGAAAAAAAAATATGACATATAAAAAGCACTTAGAGCAGTGTCTGGCACATAGAAAGCACTCAATAAATATTGGTCTTGTTATCATTGTCATTACTGGAATATAACGTTGGATAGAAAGAGACCAGTGCCGGCGACAAAAACAATAGCAAAGAACAAAAAAAGTCTTTTAAGTGACTCTTTCTGAAGGTGAAGCACACTCACGCCCCTCAATACCACCTTGTGGGTCTAGGTCTCACCGTGCTGGGCCACACCTAGTGCGTCTGAGATCCTCACACTCTCCCCAATTTGCAGGTAGGGTGAGCCATCCACCGGAAGGTTCTTAGAGACAAGCACATCTGCATKAGTCCCCCCAGCAAATGGGCTGAATGACACCCAGCACCAGTTCTTCTGAGCTGTGTGAACTTAGACAAGTTGCCTAACCTCTCTGTGCCTGGGCTGACTCGGAGACGGTGATGAGATTGCTCGACCTTGCTCAATGGATCCGTGTGGAATGGGTAAGCGAGGAGGTGAATGAGTGAATGACATAAGRTCATAGATTGCTCCCAAGACTCCGCCTTCTATCAGAAGGCAATCTAAGTGCCAATGAAAAGACGAACTAAAGCCTGGACAGAAGGTCCGAACCTGGGTGGGCATAACCATGCAAAGGTGAGGCCAGGAACCTCAGGCCCAGGATAGAGAGGGCTAAACCCTTYGTTTAATCAAAGAAGACCTGGGAGGGGCAGTCGGAGGGAGTCGGAGCCCCAGCCCTCAGCACCCAGGGCGGCCAGGGAAATGCAGCCCTGGACGGGGGTGCCCAGGGGCTCTGGGGAGCAGGAGGCCCGTGCCAGTCTGCTCTGTTCTGTGCCCTTGTTTTCTGCAGTGAAGGGGCAACATGGTGCCTGCCCAGCGACCCTCACAGCTTCCTGGCTTCCTGGGGTCCAYACCAGGACCAGCCTCAAGGCCGTGAAGCCCCAAGACGAGAGTGGCTCCCGAGTCCTCAGACACCCAAGATGGGCGGTGGCCTTCCCCCAGGACTGGAAAGCCCATCCTACCCCCTAGTGAAGTGAGAAGATGCTTCCAGGTGTGTCAGTCACCAAGGCCGAGCTGTTTTGCAGAGCCCTAAGTTGGTGGCCTTCGCTATGACATTCTGTCCAAAAGGGCCCACTGCGGTCCAGCTGGGAAATGATATCAAAACCAAAGCAAGAAAGACTACCCCAGCCCCCAGCCTGCTA